GTCAACGGTAGTCAAACACTTGAAGCCTTCTTATATCTTTCACTTTCAGTGGCCATGTTTCACAGCCATACAGTAGAACAGAGTGGACTGCTATGCAGTACACGTGATCCTTAATAGACAACCGGATATCGTGGTGGCACCATAGGTGGCGTAAATTAACAAAAGCCAGTCAAGCCTTTTGTATCCATGCAGAGATTTCATCGGCAAAGTAAATGGGTAATCCGAAAAATGTGTCGGCTCTTCTCTTCTTCCTGGGCTATTCATTGTTGTACAATACCACTCTTAGCAAAAGATAAATGCACACTGCCTAGTCGACTGCTCAAAGAAGACGTTGAAATATTTCTCTCTACAATGTAAATTGCTCTTCAATTAATCTAATACGATGTATTAAATCTTTGTAGTTGTTGTCAAATAGTTTAGTACCCATTTTACATTTGATGAATTGGTCTATAAAAACTACGATGTTCAAAGTAATATGGCAGCTAGATAGGAAATGTTGATCATAGATATAATATACATATATTGCCTATAGTCTTCGTTTCTATCTGGTCATATTAAAGTTCGAGTATATTTGATAGTAGATTATGGAGGTTGGCAGCTTCCTTGCTGAGCAATGATCCTGATATTTGAACAATGCAAGAACAAACATATTTACAGAATAAATTAAGCTCATTTCATTTCATTGCCTTTCATCAGTCGCAAACAGCTTGCAATTGAAATAAATTAATATGAGTAGTAATCGCAACATAACATGCAGAAATAAATGGAGATTTGAAATCCAGGATTAACAATAAGGTGGTAGTGAGTCAAAAGAACACAGAAATAATAATTACAAATTCTACTTGAAATCAATACCAACTTATATCTGGTGAAATAGAAAATTCTGGAGCTATGGAGTTCGGGCGGTGGGGGTGGGGCGACAACAAGCAAATAAATATCAGTGCAAAGGAAGGAACTGTTCAAGAGCCAGAAGTTACGCAATAACATGAAAAACGTGAACACCACTAAGTGATTAACACTCAGTAGGTAATTAATGAAGAGATGATGCAATTAAAAGAAAGGAGATAGAAGACTATAAACATACACATGCGAAGAAAAAACCATATACAGTTACCAAGGTAAAGGGAGGTTAGTTAAAGTCTCCATCTGAGTACATAGGTTGGGTTGAAAATGTTTGATAGTGAGAGCTTTCTCAAACGATAATAAACATGGTGTTCTCTGTTTGTTGATTATCCTGAAGGATTGATAAATATCTATTTGATGTCCTGTTTCCATCAGGGGCCTGGAGATTATGCTGTTGAATACCTTGTTACCATTCAGATACAAATTTCTTGGGATATGCTCATAAAATTGAGTAGACGTCCATCTGTCACTCCATCCTATGTACTTGCTTCTACCAGCACAGGTGAATTGATATACGCAGCTGGAGGTGACGTGAGATTGATATTTGTCTGCTTTCCAATGTGTTATTGAGCATAATGTGTTGTTTAACTGAGATCAGTCTGGCAGCAGGGAAACTCCTTGTCAGTGCATTTTTTATTCTTCTGTCTATTCTTTCACATGTCTCATCACTTTTGAATGGAAGGCGAAGGAAAACAGTCTTCTTCTCAATAGTTAGATTTTGTGGCCTCCAGAAATCCCACTCCATAATTCATGATGAATTTCTTCGGATATTCATTTTCTATAACAGCCTTCTCAATTATCCCGAATTCTTCTTTTTGTTTGTCTTTAGAGCGCAGCCTTTTTATTCTAGTGAAGAGCGTCCTGACTAAACCACCCTTCTAGCTGACAGGACATAAACTTTTGTAGTGAATGTACTGACCAATCCACGTGTCTTTTCTGTCGACAGTTCTCTCAACTGTACCATCACATCTCCGTCTTATACTTAGATTCAAAAAATTGAATCTGTTCTCATTTTCATATTGTATTATAAAATTAATATTTGGATGATCCTGATTGAAGGTTTAGAACAACTTTGACGTATGAATCATATTATCATAAACAATGAAAGTATCATTGACATACCTGCAATAATATGTCGTTTCCTTAATCTCAGAGTTCAGACTCATTCTCTTGAGATGAGCCATAAATATATGAATATAGGTCCTAGTGGTGTAAGCATCGCCACTCCATCAGTTTGCCAGTAAAGCTGATAATTAAACTGGAAGTTAATACCTTTTGTACGGAGGAGCAGTAATTGTTTGAGTTCTGTTTACGCCAATGGTAGTAGATCAGACTATCGACAGACTATGTTTATTGTTTCATCCACTGGTATATTCGTAAACGATGAGGAAACATCAAATGATACCATGAATTTATCTGAGATATCTAATCTATTCAGTTCTCCAGTGAATTGAAATGTATCCTTCAAGCTGTGACTTGCGAACGGTTTTCTGAATGGTTCCAATTTCTTTGCTAACTAACGAGCCAATTTATGACAAGATGAACTTGTCATGGACAAAATAGGCCTGAAAAGAACACCGGACTTATGGATTTTTGGCACGCCATATATGAAGGGTAGTTGTGAACCTCTTGGCTTCAGTTCACTATAGGCTGGTCCAACGATGAATTGCTTCTTCAAAAGTGCTCTGAGGTGCTACCTTACTTTTTTAAATTGTAACTAACGCATCGTTTTAAGATCTTGCAACTTTTAATCTCAACGAATCCCTCAGAAGCATCAGCATTTCATGCAAGTAGTCATTTTTATTCATAACGACACCAGACCACTTACCAGCATATTCTGTCGGTAATCCCGAAGGACTGAGAAACATGTATTTGATAACTGACAAACAGAGAACACCATGTTTATTATCGTTTGAGGAAGCTCTCACTATCAAACATTTTCAACCCAACCTATGTACTCAGATGGAGACTTTAACTAACCTCCCTTTACCTTGGTAACTGTATATGGTTTTTTCTTCGCATGTGTATGTTTATAGTCTTCTATCTCCTTTCTTTTAATTGCATCATCTCTTCATTAATTACCTACTGAGTGTTAATCACTTAGTGGTGTTCACGTTTTTCATGTTATTGCGTAACTTCTGGCTCTTGAACAGTTCCTTCCTTTGCACTGATATTTATTTGCTTGTTGTCGCCCCACCCCCACCGCCCGAACTCCATAGCTCCAGAATTTTCTATTTCACCAGATATAAGTTGGTATTGATTTCAAGTAGAATTTGTAATTATTATTTCTGTGTTCTTTTGACTCACTACCACCTTATTGTTAATCCTGGATTTCAAATCTCCATTTATTTCTGCATGTTATGTTGCGATTACTACTCATATTAATTTATTTCAATTGCAAGCTGTTTGCGACTGATGAAAGGCAATGAAATGAAATGAGCTTAATTTATTCTGTAAATATGTTTGTTCTTGTATTGTTCAAATTTGTCAAGAGGAATAAGCGTATGACAATTCTGATATTCGTTATTTAGCACAAATTTTTGGTTAATATAACTAGTTATCCTATCTGTGAGCTAATTAATGATTTCAAGTTGTTATTCATCGTAGACTGACATCAGTTGGAGGAACAAAGGAAACCTGGGAGCACTGGACAGCTGTTTCGTCCCACTAGTATGGGACTCCTCAGCAGTTCGCACCCACGACCCCACCAGCAGGGATCGAACCCGTGACCTTCAGGTTCCGCGACCAGCACGTTACTATTGAGCTAGCCACTGGGTCAGAATCCAATGCTCCATATTTCCAACTTCTGTTAGCTCACGATATATAGCGCAAACCGCCACCCAATGTCATCGTTGAGTATTTGTCCTCACGGCCATCATGCTTTGACTCCACCGGTCACGACTTGTCATTGGAACTTCGGGAATACTTCTCGAAGCTAGTCACCAATGAGCACTAGTTCAATTAAATTTTGAGGGGGTTGTGGAGATTTGGAAATATTTCAAGTTGTTATTCAGCGCACTGCTGAGGAGTCCCATACTAGTGGGACGAAACAGCTGTGCAGTGCTCCTAGGTTTCCTTTGTTCCTCCAACTGATGTCAGTCTTCGATGAATAACAACTTGAAATATTTCCAAATCTCCACAACCCCCTCAAAATCTAATTAATGATTGTTACCATAAGAGAAAGTGATAACAACAGTTTGTTTGAAATCCTAATTATGCCTATTGATATCGAAATGGAAGCATTCATAATATATTTACATCTTCAGATAAATAATCGGATTCTAGTTGCATTCTGAATGTCTTCAAATAACATGTGTATGCAAAGCTTTTACTAGAATTCATTTATATTGCTCTGAAATAGGTCAGAATACTGTGAATGTAGTCAAACCACTTAACCACTGCTGTAAAGTAACCAGACAATTTACATTTGTTTTACTTTGATTATTTAAGCAGGAAGACAAACGATCACCATGTGAATGTAGTGATTTCTCATCGCAATTTACGGTAGATTTTGCTTAGTCTTCGTATATATGAAATTCAAATAGCTACTGGTAATCCACATGATGCAATTTATTCATATGCAACAAACAATTCTGGGGACGTACCAACTAACAACCTACCACCTAACACATATGCAGACGAAGAAAGTGGAGATGGATTGGGCATACACTGAGAAGGCCGACTGGTGATATCACACGCCACGCCCTCGAGTGGAATCCGAAGGGGAAGCGATAAGTTGGGCGTCCGAGGCGAGGGGGATATGGAGGAGATCACATGAAGAGGAGATCAAAGCTTGTGGGCAGTCGTGGGGCCAGGTTCATAGGACTGCAGAGAAGAGAGTGGAATGGAGGCTTGCTACTGAAGTCCTGTGTTCCATTAGAAACCCAAGGGACAAATAATAAATAATAATATACAATTTATTCACTCATAAGACTTCCTAGTCAAAAGAGATAAAGCATGTATTCAATAATTCTTGATCCAAAATTGTAGATCATTTATTTCTATCTAAACTATAAAATGTAACTATAACAAGTTATTTTTGCCGTATAGATATATTACAATCATATACATTTAAATATTTTCCTTTAAAAATCTAGGTTCTACATAATATTGATGAATTATTTGACAGACCTGAACTGGCTGCAGCTCCTGATCTTCTATGGCCAGATTGTTTAATCCTGGCGTATTTGTTCTTAAGCCATCCATGAATACTTATAATGGACTATTACAAATGTTATCTAATGTTGGCAGTTTTGATGGAAGGGAACAAGTGAGTTGTGCAGTTACAGAAATTTCTTTTTTTTCCTCTTTCCTTAACGATTATAAACTAATAATGACGCAACAATAAGGTAGAATGTAATGAAATTATGGTTCAATAATTTTATCAGTTCTTCTTTTAACAAATTTAACTATGGATTCTCAATCCTTTTCATTACCTTTTCATTACTATGTAGCCAGTATCATTGGTCACATCAACATAGTACCTAAATCTGAATACCTTTTTGTCTCATTCCATGTTAATTTTGCTTATCTGATGTGTCACAGAATGAAAAAGTATTATTGATTTAACAAGGAATTCTGTACATGATACAGATTCACCAGAGAACATAACCACAAAGTCAGACAAATTCAACATAAAACTTCGCATACAGGTATATCGCTTCAGTTGAATAGATAGTTGACACTGAACAAGTGAATGAGATTTGTAACTGAGCTAGGTGAAAATCGTTTACATATTAACAATGTGAGCGTTAAGAGATTAGTTAAAAAGTGAAAAAAATGGGAAGTTTAAGATTTAAGAACGGCCTAAGCTGCATCATCCTGGAAAGGTTAAAGAATGCCCTGTATTCAAAATTACGACTGAAACAGGCTGACTGACTGACTTCAGGGGAAACAAATCATGTGCCGATCAAATTGCATAGAATCGCAGTCAACTCTCTATCAGCTTCAGCGATTTTGAAAATGCCTTCGATAGCGTCGACCGAGAAGTAATTTGGCAGCTGCTGCTTCAACACTACGGCACATGCCAAGTGATTCACAATGGAAAGCTCAGTGGTGATGCCTATGAAGTGAAGACAGGATGAAGTAAGACAAGGTTGCCACCCACTATCACCAATGATCTTCCTGATTGTGGTCGACTGGACTAGACTGGACTGGACTGGACTGGACTGGATGATGCAACAGACACCTGTGAGGAGCTGTGAGAAGATGGGCATAAGCTCACTGGACAGATGAAAAGATTCCAGAAGAAGATTGGGATTTCACCAACGATGATGGTACACGTCTAATGTCGAACAAGCTCGAAGATGTACAGGCGAAAAGTAACAAGTTAGCAGAAGATGCGAGGCAGAGAAGGAAGATGGAAATTCTTTCAGATGGACGTAGAGAAGACACAGGTGATGGAGATACTCAACCACCACCACCAACAACAACAACAACGAACACCAATCACCATCAACACGAGAAATCTCAAGGAAGTTGTCTCTTTCACCTACCTAGATAAGACAGCATTGCTTCAACTACAGACGGCGGTGGCAAAGATGAGAATGTGAAAGCCAGGATGGGAAAGACAGCAAGAAAGGCATTCCTTCATTAATCTGAAATAATCAGTGTGGAGATATACTGCACTACACTACACTACACTACACTACACTGCACTGCACCGCACTGCACTCAGTATAAAGTGTGAACAATATCAGGATTTTCAACACTAATTGAGTCAAGTAAGTCAGCGCTTCTATGTGATGATTGAGAGACTTGGCAGCGCGTTTTGGAAAACATCCCTAACAAACTGCAGACATACATGACATGAACAGCTGTCACCTACACTCACTCGATACTGACACTGAAGATCAGATGGATGGCGAGAATAATATGAATAAGCAAGAAGGGTGTGTGGCTGGCTGGCTGGCTGGCTGGCTGGCTGGCTGGCTGGCTGGCTGGCTGGCTGGCTGGCTGGCTGGCTGGCTGGCTGGCTGGCTGGCTGGCTGGCTGGCTGGCTGGCTGGCTGGCTGGCTGGCTGGCTGGCTGGCTGGCTGGCTGGCTGGCTGGCTGGCTGGCTGGCTGGCTGGCTGGCTGGCTGGCTGGCTGGCTGGCTGGCTGGCTGGCTGGCTGGCTGGCTGGCTGGCTGGCTGGCTGGCTGGCTGGCAACCAACCAACCAACAACGAATCTATCGACGAAAACAAATATGTAGAAGAAGAGAGTGGAGATGGTTATGTTGGATTGCATTCTGCATACACTGAGAATGAAGACGGTTTGGGACATCAAGCGCCAGATCAGGCTTGGTCGTCAAGTGGAAGGCAGATGAGAAATGACGAGTTTAGCATCTGAGGTGAGGGTGACATGGAGAAGATTGTGTGGTTAAGAAATGAAAGTTTGTGGGCATTTGTGGAGCCAGTTTGTAAAGACTGCAGAGAAGAGAGTGAAGTGGTGACGTGCTACTGAAATGTTATGTTCCACTAGGAACTCAAAGGACCAATAACAATAAGCAGAGAAAATGGCAAAGTTCCATCTGGGTATAAAATTCCAGTTTTCATTTTAGACACTAACACTTTCAAGCATGACTCAATAAGCGTCAACACAGATCAGTTAGTAGCCCCATTTTACAACATTTAGTTGATAATGGGTACACAGTTTCAGGAGATTCGTTTATACTAGTCTACAAATTACAATATAATCTTCCTAAGGGTTCGAAAAAACGCTTACTTTATGTTACTGAATCTTTGGCAGTTCGACAGTGTATCCAGAGGCAGTTTTGTCATTCCCTCTCCTTATCCACTTCTTAATTCTTAAACCTTCTAGTTCTTAAGCCTAGCTAATCTTTTAATTCTCATTTTGTTGCTACGCAAACGATTTACGCTTAACTCGGATACAAGTTTCTAATGCTTTTGCTCTCTGACAACCGTCTACTCACCCTATCACTTTTTATCTTCAACTCATACTTACTCATGTTGTGAAACACTTGTATTTGTTATATAATTTCAAGTTGGTATTCATCATGGACTGAAATCAGTTGGAGAAACATTAAAAAACTGGGGGGACTGGATAGATGTTTCATCCCGGTACGGGACTCCTCAGCAGTGCACTCCCATGACCCTGCCAGGGATCTAACCCAGGACCTTCAGGTTCCGCGACCACCATGTCACCGCAAACACTCGAAATTCAGTTAATACAGTACTCACTGGTGACTAGCTTCAAGAAGTTATTCTCAAAGTTCCGATGAGAACCTTGGGGCCAACTAACAACCACAGCATTGGATGGAGGTCGTGCTATATTGTGAACTGACATAGTAGGAAATATGGATTATTGGGTTCTGACCCAGTGACTCAATGGTAATGGGCTGGCTGAGGAACGTGAAGGTGATGGATTGGATCCCTGGCATGTGTGGTGATGGTTGCGCACTGCTAAGGAGTCCAATACTAGAACGAAACAACTGTCCTGTGTACCCAGGTTTCCAATGTTTCTCCGACTGATCTCATTCCATGATGAATACCAACCTGAAGTAAAAAAGCAACAATCTAAACGAAGAGTATTTTTTTCAATAAATTCCCATCAGGTTCTACAGTCATAAAATGCTTTTATACAGCATATAAACATCTTCAGAATGGTAATCTTGGCATATATTTCAATAGTCGGTTAATGTTCAACCCGAGACTGAAGGGTAGTCTATCTAATCTTAGTTCTTCATCTTGGATATATCAGTTTATGGCAAACTATTAGACCGGTGCATCTCCAGATACAAAAGGTTCAATCGACTTTCGCCAACTTACCCCACCTATGGCGCCGCCGCGACATCCGATTGTCTATTAAGGGTCACGTGTACTGCACAGCAGTCCACTCTGTTCTACTGTATGGCTGTGAAACATGGCCATTGAAAGTGGAAGATATAAGAAGGCTTCAAGTGTTTGACTACCGTTGACTTCGTTGTATAGGCCGTATTCCATGGTGTCACCGCACCACATGAGTAAGGCAGAAGTCAGGAGTAGAGTTTTAGGGAGAAGAGATAAGTTGGTTGACGAGGTTGTGAACCTTCATCGACCGAGATGGTTAGGACACGTATTATGTATGGCTGGCTAGTCGTCGATTGCCTCACCACACAATGTTGGCTGAAGTAGGTTCAGACTGGAAAAAGGTTCGAGGTGGCTAGATCAAAATATGGCACCAATGTAAGAAGTTTTTGACTGTTGGTTTGAGTCATGTGGGGCGATGCAGACTAGCCGGTTGGGGTCTACAGGACAAGAGGAACTAGTGGTTGGAGACTTTAGGTGGTTGCATGGCTGAGAACCGATGTCAGTTGTGCAGATGTATACATACATTATCCTCATCTTAACGATGCTATAGGGAGTCTCACCACTTTCTCATTCTTCCTTCCTCTCTTTTCGTAGTTTTTATTTCTCTTGACTTTATTCTCTTATCTTCATCTTGCGGCTGACTGCCTTTTAACTTGATGTACTGATATGAGATGTGGCAAGTCGGACGGTTACGCAGTAATACCTGGTCCTAGGTTGATCTGGATGGATGATGGATGGACTATGAGAGCATTTACCGGCTTGGTTCGGAAAAGGCGAAGTGAAGATAGTAAAAGGTTCCATTCTACTGCACTTAGTGAGTGGACACATGGCATGACATATATGCCAATAATCCTTTCACTGTCATTTATCGTATTCCAAAGACAATACTGTGTGTACCTCACCAACGCCTGTACAACATAACGGAGGCTGTCACAATGAGACTATTCAAACCTGAACTGTGCATTCAGAAAGCCTTCAGTAAACTATAAACCGGTCCTATCTTGCTTATTCATTTGCCTTTCCCTTCACCATCACATTATTCACGTGTATTCAAATGTCATCCTAATACTGACCAATTAAAAAAGGGAAAATATGAGTCCATTTTGGAAATTCATTTCCCTTTAGCTTGTCTTGTCTTAACACTGAACAAATGCATTCGATAATTCCAGGACTTGGTGGGAGAATCTGTTGAAAAGAATATTCTTCGTTCAAGTTGTTGCTTTTTATTGATGTTATGAAAACCTTTAAATTTTGAGGTAGTATTCACCATGGACTGACATCTGTTGGAAAACCACTGAAAACCTGATAACACTTAATAACTGTTTCGCCTTAGTATGTGACTCCTCAGCTACATGCACCTACAACCCGGCTAGAGATCGCACTCAGGACTTTCAGGTTTCATGGCGAACGTGTTAAACATTCATACTAGGACGTAACAGCTGTCCATTGCTCCCAGGTTTTCAATGATTCCCCAACTGA